TTTTTTTTTTTTTTTAGTGCTGTGGTGCTCAAACTCTTGGGCTCAAGGCGCTCCTCTTGCCTCAGCCTCCCCAGTAGCTGGGACTACAGGCATGCACCACCACACCTGGTTGTTTTTTTCTATTTTTAGTAAAGATGGGTCTCACTCTTGCCCATGCTGGTCTAAAACTCCTGAGTTCAAGCAGTCTACCCACTTTGGCCTCCCTAAGTGCCAAGATTACAGGTGTGAGCCACCATACCAGGCTGCACTTTTTTTTCTTTTTGGAGACAGGGTCTCACTCTGTTGTGCCAGCGGGGTACAGTGGAATCATCATAGCTTCCTGCAACTGCAAACTCCTGGGCTCACGCAATTCTCCTGCCTGTGGTTCTGGTGAAGCTGGGACTAAACGTGTATGCTAATATGCCTGGCTAATTTTAAAATTTTTTTGTAGAGCCAGGGTCTCACTATTGTCCAAGCTCGGGCTAGGTTTTGAAGGATGAGTAGGAGTTTCTCAGGAGAAGGAAGTGAATTCTAAGCAAAAACTATGTTCTTTTAAGGGCCCACACTAGCCCTGGTCCTATTTGTGTTCTACATAATAAGAACAATAGAAAGGATGGCTGATGTTTATGAGCCAAGATGCTATTCCAAGCCCTTTCACTTGTATTGAACTATTTAATCCTGACATCAACCTTAGAAAGCAGAAAGTGTCATCCCTGATAAATTGTAGGGCTAGTATATGAAATCAGGTGGGTGCTTTGTAAATGAATATTCATTAATTTCCTAATAGGAAGTGAGTACTGTTCTTGATACTGGGGCTTCTTTAATCCATTGATTCATGTTGTCATCTGTTCAGCTAGTATTTATTGAGCATCTGCCATGGGTCAGATGTTGTACTAGGCATTGAGGCACAGGAGGGAACACATCAGCTAAGGTTAACTAACTACACAAGTGCAGTAATGATGGATTAGGAGAAATGCTAGCAGAAAATAGTAAGGATGATTTGATAGAGGACAGCTGGGAGGGGCTAAAACTGGGGACCACACTAGGTAACAATGGGCAGAGAAGGGCACTGACCTTGAGACTCCCAGAGGATAAGAAGCAATCAAGAAAAGCCAGGAAAAGTTCTAAGCAGGAGGAATCACAAGTGCAAAGCCACAGATGTGGGAATAAGTTTGGAGAAAAGGACAATCTGGGTGGGGATGAAGGAGTTCAGGATGGTGGGGGGGGTGCTAGTGGGGCTGGAGGATGGAGGGGGTTCATCCTGGCGAGGTGAGAGGCAGGGCAAGGGTATGGGAGGGGAGGTGGGAGTGAATGTCATTCACTGGATACTCCAGTCTAGCAATGTCAAGGAAGCCACTGGCTGTACAAGTCAGGAGTGCAGGGAAGGGTTGAGGTTGCACACATAGGGCTGGGAGTCATTTAAAGGCTAGAGGTTGGGGCCTGGCTAAAGATCAAGGGCAGATAAAGACAAGGGGAGGTTTGTGCCCTGTAGAACTTCAAGCCCGGCATGAGGACTCAAGCAAGGAGATGAAGAAGAGGCTGCCAGTGAGGTGGGGTCTAGGTCGGAAAGGCCAGTGGAGGGAGTGACCGTCGGTATCAGATGTAATTGAGAGGACAGAGAACTCACCTGATGCTTAGCTAGGATGGTCACTACTGACATTGATGAGGTGTGGCTGGTGGACAAAAGCCTGACCGGAGTGAATTCAACAGAAAATGGGAGGAGATGGCTCGGCGCCTATAGCTCAACCAGCTAAGGCGCCAGCCACCTACACCTAAGGTGGCGGGTTCAAATCCCCAGCCCGGACCCGCCAAACAACAATGATGGCTGCAACCACAAAATAGCCGGGCGTTGTGGCGGGTGCCTGTGGTCCCAGCTACTTGGGAGGCGGAGGCAGGAGACTTGCTTGAGCCCAGGAGTTGGAGGTTGCTGTGAGCTGTAATGCCACGGCACTCTACCCAGGGGAACAGCTTGAGGCTCTGTCTCAAAAAAAAAAAAAAAGAAAGAAAGAAAATGGGAGGAGAGAAATTGGGGACAGAACACAAAGGCAACTCTCCCAATTATTTTTTTGTGGAAAAAGATGGAGGGAAAACGGGTATTCATGAAAAGGGATTGCTTTTTATTTATTTCGCAGTTTTTGCCAGGGCTGGGTTTAGAACCTGCCACCTCCAGCATATGGGGCTGGTGCCCTACTCTTTTGAGCCACAGGTGCCACCCTAAAGGGGATTGCTTTTTAAGATGGGAGATATTAAAGAATGGTGAGTTGCTGATGGGAATGATCCAGAAGAAAAGGATAAATTGATGATTTCAAGGGACAGGTGGGGGCTGTTGGAGTGACGTCCTCACAGAGGCAGGAGTGTATGTGATCATTGGCCTCAGGTGGGAGCAAGGACACTGCTTCCGGAGTTAACAGGAGGAAGGCAGAGTCTGGGGCATGGATGCACCGGGATGGTTGTGTGTGGAGGCAGGAAGTGTGTGAGAATTCTCTGTAGATTTCCAAAGAGCAATGGAAGTCAGTGTCTGAGAGGGAGGTGTGGGGAGGAAGGCTGGCTTTCTGACCAGAGTTGTGAATAGTGACATAGGGCAGGGATTCGGGATTATAGGCAGTGCTGAGAACTTGCCTAAGGTTAGGAGTGTTTTGGCAAGGGGACATGCACCATACTATAGTTTTTTTTTCTTTGTAGAGACAGAGTCTCACTTTGTTGCTCTGGGTAGAGTGCTGTGGCGTCACACAGCTCACAGCAACCTCCAACTCCTGGGCTCAAGCAAGTCTCCTGCGTCAGCCTCCCAAGTAGCTGGGACCACAGGCGCCCGCCACAACGACCGGCTATTTCTTTTTAGTTGTAGTTCAGCCGGGGCCGGGTTTGAATCCGCCACCCTGGGTGTATAGGGCTGGCGCCCTACTCACTGAGCCACAGGCGCCGCCCTATCCTATATAGTTCTTAACTCAGATAATTTAGTACAAAGGATTGTTAACTAGGTATAGAGACTTATTGACTAGGTAACTGAAGAGGTAAAATAAAAAGAGTAGCTACTGTAGGAAGCAGCTAAGCCTCACTCCTAGGATGGTATTATTAAAATCCAGAAGCTCAAAGGAAGGGCATGAATTGCTGAAACTCAGACATCTAAGGACAGGGTGCTATTTGGCTGGGGATGGTATCTCTGAAGAGAGGAAAATGAGGCTGATTTTGCAAGTGTTGGAGTAACTGCAAAGTGGATGCCATTGCGGTTTCTGGAATGTTCCAAGTGCTGCTATCAGGCTGAAGAAGCAAGACTGGGTGACGCCAACAGAATAGGAACGAGGAGGAGGGAAAGCTCGCTATTGGTAGAACCTAATTGGGATCAGCTGGCAAAGCAGAAACATTTGCAGAGATCCAGCCTCAGCACTGCAAAGCCAAGAACAGCAGGTGGCTGCAACTTGGTCAGCCTGCACTGGAGGCCTGAGAAGAAACCCAGACTAGTCAGCACAGTGTCTCCTCCACTGATTATAAGTCAGGATTAGAATTTTGCTCGGTGAGTACCTTGAAGCCAGGTAAAGGGAGGAAGAGTGTATGCTACTGCTTACAATTTAGGATTCTGTTATATAATCCCATAGGGACATGAGGGGAGTGGTACGGGTGGGTGCAAGGTAGCTCAGTCTAGGGGCTGTAGGCCTAGGGTTGGAGACCTTGCTTCTCCACGTGTGGCCCATAGGCCAGCAGCAACCGCATCAGCGGAAGTGTTAACCAAAACAAACAAAAAAAATTGAGGTTTATACTTTGGAAAAAGGAGAGTTTTATTGCTCTTAAGGGGTAGCAACCTGGTGGATAGCCATTCCAACGGGTTTGGACGCTGACAAGCAGCCAGAGGCCAGGCACACGTGCTTCTGAGAAAAGACAAAAGGCAACAGGATTTTTATACTGAGCGGTGGCCAAATATAAATATTTAACGAGCTATAGGAGGAACATGAATATGTATGAAAGAGAAATCATGCGCATGTGTAATTGTGCTTTATTGCTCCCATCCGGTCTTGGCTGGGATCTGTTTTTTTGAGACAGAATCTTGCTCTATCGCCCAAACTAGAGTGCCTTGGCGTCACCACAGCTCAAACTCCTAGGCTCAGGCGATTCTTCTGCCTCGTAGCTGAGGCTACAGGCGCCTGCCACAACTCCCCAGCTAGTTTTTCTGTTTTTAGTAGGGACAGGGTCTTGCTCTTGCTCAGACTGGTCTGGAACTCCTGAGCTCAGGCTATCCGATCCACCCGCCACTACCTTCCAGAGTATTAGGATTACAGTCGTGAGCTAGGAACTCAGTTTTAAGATTTTTCCAGAGTCCTCTTGGCCGAGGAGTCCATCTAGTTAGCAGAGAGATTAGGATTTATTTTTAGTTCACAAGAGCTCGCAAGAAATGCAGAATCTTAGGCCACTGAAAACGCTGAATGGTCCCCGTCTACATATCCCTTTAGGCAGAAGACGACTCGCGCGGAAAAGCTGGGAGGTGGTGATCAGAGAGGATGGGCAGCTTGACTTTGAGACTCTGGACGGGTCAAACGGAAGCGTGCTCTCGCCTGCAGCCCGGAGCCTACGCTGGGAGACAGCTCCCGGGCTTGAGCTTCCAGGCTGGGCTTCTTACTCTAGGGGAAGCCATAGTGTTCTGCGGCCTAGGGCCCTCTGATGCAAATTTCTCCAGGGCCAGAAGGAATTTCCTTAACTCCCCAAGTTAGTGAGTTCGGTCCCCATCCCATTAGCAGGTAATATACGGCTTACTTAATTTATTTCTTGGAGGAAATTCTTTCGAAGAGAAAACCAATCCCTTTTCCCTTTGGGCTCGTCCAGCCTAGCTTCCCCTGCTCGGATCTTCGCAGTAGGACAGGCGGTCCAGCCTCCTTCCTGCCCCCGCAACCCTCCAAGTCCCGGGAGAGGACGCGCCTCCCCTACAGGGAAAGCCAATCGCTTCCCGGTCGTACAGAACGGAGAGATTTGGTGGCAACCAAGGGGCGTGGCAGAGCGACTAGTGCTGCCTGGGCCCTGCGTGCCCGGCGCGGAGCGGACTCTTTGCGTCTGCGTAGTGCGCTCACCTCCCTTTCTGCCTCCGCTGCCGCCATGGCTCCTGTGGTTAGTATGGCTCCGCGTGAGGCCTCGGCTCCGGAGAGAGGCACGTGGGCCTCGCCGAGCTCCGCGCGCGCCCAGGCTCACTGGGGACCCAGCTGTGCACCCTCCGTCTGGGGTGGGCTGGCAGGCAGGCCGCACCGGGCCGGGGTGCTGCCGATCCCAGCACGTTGTGGGCGAAAGAGGCTGCGGCCTGAGGCCCCTGAGGGAGGTCCGGGAGGTCTGGGAAGCCACGGCCCGGGCTCAGGCTCCAGTCTGGGCCAGCCGGGAGCTGGATCGTTTGGGCTGCGGGCTGTGCTGGTGGTTGTGCCGGTCACTGGCCGTTAGAGTCCGGCTTTGGGCCTTGGTTACCTGGGCGGAGGGCGGGGAGGAAGGGCACCTGCCATCCTGGGGAGCCGCGCAATTGGGAAGCAAACGGTCAAGACGAGGGGGGGGGGAAGAATCTGCAAAAGGGTAGTCTGGTGGGCCTGTTCTCGGAGAGGGGGCCCGGGTTTGAGGACCCTCTTAGCGTCCCCGGAGGAAATTGGTTTGTCAGAGTGTTGTGCAGACCTTTTTGGGGTACGGTCCCTAATTATATGTTCCTTTAGCTAGGCTGGGACTGGGCTGTGAGATGCTCTCGTGTCACTCTGTGTGCAGATCGTCTTTCCTGCAGGTTACTTAGAGAAAGGGTTTTCTTGTTCTTCGTCCCAAGAGTCTCCTATTTCTCTTTATTGGGACTCTCTGGTTAATATTTCTGGTTCTCCCACTATTTTGCCTAGGCGGGCTTTTAAATGCTTTTATGCATTTAGTTTAAAACCTCGGTGGAAGATATCATGATCTCCTACTTGAAGGTTTATTTTCGGGGATAGATCTTAAAGCAGCTCTCTTGGGTTGTTACTAGGAAGAGACGCTGTAAAAAAGAAATCAGTGGTTTTTGTAGTTCTTAAATGCTTGAAAAGTAGACCAAGTTAGTACCAAGTTTTTGAAGGAGTTCTTTTAAATATAAACGAAGGGAGGTAAGGTATGTTCTTGGAAAGGTCTATTTAGATTCTTCAAAGCTTTTGAAAGTGGAAACACAGGTAAGTAGGATGTACAAATGTATTTCTATGGTACCCGAGTTTGTAGAGGGGTAAGATTAATATGAATGTCTTAATAGTGAATAAACTGGGACCTGATAAGATGTGCTCTGCCTGGTTGTTTGGAAGTACTAAGTCATAGATTAAACCCATCAAAAAGGACAGCAGTTGTTAACAGTGTTGTAAAAGACTAAGTTTTAGCTTTACCCTTGTCTAAACTGAAGTGGACAAGAGCTAGAATACCTTAAATTCCCTGCTGTTCCTGAGAAGGCAGGTGAGACAGGATTAGGGGAGGCTAGCTAAAATGGATCAGGACTCTAGTCTGGACACATAGGACCAGGATCAAAATTGTAGGTATGCAAACGTTTGTATGCCTGTATTTTAATCCTGGAATAAACTACAGTAATATTTCCTGAAACTGATAGACTCTTATGCCTGTAGAGATTGGAGTTTGAATAGGGCCACAGTGCTAAGAATAATTTTCCTGTGAAAAGGGCATGGCCCCTCAGGCCCTCCGAGCTTGTAAGGCTGTATCGTTCCAATTATACCTCTGTTACTCTTGGGGTTCTCGCAGGGGAACACAATTCCATGTTTCCTGTTTGTGTGGTCTTTTATGCCTATTGACATTCTGTTAATTTTTTGTGTATGTGTACTTTCGTAGAAAAAACTTGTTGCAAAGGGAGGCAAAAAAAAGAAGCAAGTTCTGAAGTTCACGCTTGATTGTACCCACCCTGTAGAAGATGGAATCATGGATGCTGCTAATTTTGTAAGTTACATTATTGCCACTAGGGATGGTCATGACCTTTTGCGGTAACTGTTGAGAAAACCTACCATAGTGTGTACATTTCTGTTTTCAGGCTTATAGGCAACTTGACAATTCTGGCTCTATCATTTAATTCTTGGATTAGGGGCAGAGTATTTGTTTCTAAGTCTTGCTTTTTGTTTGTTTGTAGCCGTTGTGAGGAATAAATAAGATGGGCTGTAGCATGTAGGTGCTGGAGGAGTATAATATTTTGCCTGTCCTTTTTTGCTTTAGTTCCCAAAAGTGATTTATACTTAAAAGTCACCAAGAAACAGGCCAACTTCATTGGGTCCAACAGCCCCTTTTTAAGCATAAATGATAGGCCATGATTCTCTAGGGGCTGCCTCTGTCCTGGGCTTCAACTTTTTTTTTTTTTGTGACAAAGTCTAACTTTGTCACTGTAGGTAGAGTGCTGTGGTGTCAGCTCATGGTAACCTCCAAATCTTAGGATCAAGCAATTCTCTTGCCTCAGCCTCCCAAGTAGCTGGGACTATAGGCACCTGCCATGATGCCCAGTTATTTATTTATTTTATTTTACCTTATTTTTTAGAGACAGAGTCTCACTTTATTCCCTTCAGTAGAGTGCCGTGGCATCACACACAGCTCACAGTAACCTCCAACTCCTGGGCTTAGGCGATTCTCTTGCCTCACCCTCCCGAATAGCTGGGACTATATTTATTTTTAAAGAGGCTGGGTCTTACTCTTGCTCAGGTTAGTTTTGAACCTGTGAGCTCAGGGGAATCCACCTGCCTCAGCCTCCTAGAGTGCTAGGATTACAGGTGTGAGCCATTGCACCCAGTCTGGGTCTCAACTTTTAAGATGTGAAGCAGATGGCAGCACTTTCTGTGGTTTTCTGTTTTTTTTTTTTTTTTTAGACAGTCTCACTATGTCACTCTCAGTAGAGTGCCCTTGCGTCACAGCTCACAGCAATCTCAAACTCTTGGGCTTAAGTGATTCTCTTGCCTTAGCCTCCCAAGTAGCTGGGACTACAGGCACTCGCTACAACACCTGGCTATTTTTTTGTTGTTGGAGTTGTCATTGTTCTTTTAGCTGGCCCAGGTTGGATTCAAACCTGTCAGCCTCAGTGTATAGCTGGAATCCTACCCACTGATCTACCGGCGTCGCCTGGTTTTCTGTTTTACTACAGAAAACAGCGTTAGTTTACTACCCTGAACTGCAGGGTTTACTATAAACTATATTTTTCATTTCTTGCTCTGTATTGATTTTTTTCTGTACATTTTACTCATTTCCCAGTATTTCTCTATTCAATTTGAATCTAGAAGTTTTTATTTTATTTTGTTTGATTTCAGTTAATCTAGAAATTTGAAATAATCTCACTGCCACATTTGGACTCTGCAACTTGGTTTTGGCATTTTCTTCCAGTAGCCATGCTTGGGGAATTCATACTTGGTATTGTGTGCACAGGTCTCTAAATTTACATTTGCTCCTCACACCTATTGCCAGGATCAGAACCTTTATGACAAAAATAATTTTCAAATAAAAAATTGAAGGCTTGGGGGGTGGCGCCTGTAGCTCAAAGGAGAAGAGCGCTAGCCCCATATGCCAGAGGTGGCAGGTTCAAACCTAGCCCCGGCCAAAAAATGAATAAATAAATAAATTGAAGGCTTGGTCTATGACCACTAATTATAGAGAATGGGCCTGGGGGGCCTCTTACAGTTTATTGCCTTTGTGTCAATCTTTTTGCATCTGTTTTTTTTCTTTTTCTTTTTAAAGTTTCACTATGCCCTTGGTAGAGTGCCGTGGTGTCGTCACAGCTCACAGCAACCTCAAACTCTTGGGCTTAAGCGATTCTCTTGCCTCAGCCTCCCAAGTAGCCGGGACTACAGGCACCTGCCATGATACCTGGCTATTTTTTGGTTGTAGTTGTTATTGTTTAGCAGGCCTGGACCAGGTTTGAACCCGCCAGCCCAGGTTCATGTGGCTGGCATCTTAACCACTGAGCTATGGGCACCGAGCCTGTATCTGCGTTCTTTAATAAAGAAGCCTCTTGGTTGGCTCCTTAGTTCTTTCTCTAGCCAGTAACTTCTGGCTTTTCTTGCAGCCTCTTTTCCTTCTTAACCTTGGTGTCTTCCACTCTGATACCTGCTCCTCAGGCAATCCACCTGCTTTGGCCTCCGGTCACTGAATGTCTTTGTTCTTATAGATTGAAGATAGATCGCATAGTGGCAATATCCCTGCCTCCATCCCTTTACAAGCCATTCCCTCAGTTCACGCATCTCTGTGTGTCTTTTCCTTCTGGATGCCTCTTTAGGATAGAAAACTGAAGTCATTTGTGAGTCTTAAGATGTAAAAGTGAAGATTTCTGATATAATCACATTGCACCAGCTATGGCTAACACATTTTGTATTGGAGTTTTAAAATAGATAAATGTAAGAGTTTTGTGCCAAAAAGAACATCTCATTGCAATAGCAAGATACCAAAAAAAATTCTTTTGGGTTTTGGGGCAAAGATTCCTGAAGCCCACAGAGGTGAATGGCTTCCTTAGGTCCGTATAAAGGGACTGCAGAGAGTATATCTCTGGCTCCTGGGGGGCTGCCTCTCCTGCAGCATGTGGCTGTGGACCAGATAGAGAATTATTTTGGTAACTGCATGTTTTTTTTTCTGGAGACAGACTCTCACTTTGTTGCCCTTGGTAGAGTGCTGTGGCGTCATAGCTCATGGCAACCTGAAACTCTTGGGCTCAAGAGATTCTCTTGCCTCAGCCTCCCTAGTAGCTGTTGTGGTGCCTGCCAGCTATTTGTCGAGATGGGGTCTTGCTCTTGCTCAGGTTGGTCTCGAACTCCTCAGGCAAGTCCCTGCCTGTCTTTGTTCTTTCTTAAAGCTTGAAGATTTATTTTCATAAATAAAGTGCTGAAAATAGTGCTTTATCTTCCTTAAGTTCAGAAGTTGCTTGGACTTTTGTTGCATGTTCCTTGTGAAAATTTGGTCTTGGGTTTCCTGTGTATTCTTGCGCTGGCCACTAGGCCTTCTGTGTAGAGGCGTATTTGACCTTGTGTGGAAGCAGTCAAGTATGTTCATGCTAAGATATTTCCATAGTATAAAGTATATGGTAGTATATGTAAATAATACAATAATATCATAGTGCTGCTTTCTCCTGCTAGTCCTAGATTTCACATCGTATGAATAGCTAAAGATTTGCTATCTTTTTTTTTAAAAGAATGGATCTTTAAAAGAAACAATATTGTACCCTATAAATATATACAACTATTTTTTTTTTCTTTACTGAGACAGAGTCGCAAGCTGTCACCCTGGGTAGAGTGCTATAGTGTCACAGCTCACAGCAACCTCAAACTCTTGGGCTCAAGTGATTCTCCTGCCTTAGCCTCCCAAGTAGCCAGGACTACAGGCACCTGCCACAATACCCGACTATTTTTTGGTTGTAGTTATTGTTTGGCAGGCCCGGGCCAGATTTGAACCCACCAGCTCTGGTGTATGTGGCTGGTGCCCTAGCTGCCTGAGCTACAGGTGCCAAGCCAATACATAAACAACTATTATATTAAATATTTAAAAAATGATATTCAGTGTTGGGAGTACAAGAAAGGAAAATGCTCTTAAGGTATGTAGCCTGTTGCTTCACTAATTGGTCGATTTGATTTCCACAGGAGCAGTTTTTGCAAGAGAGAATCAAAGTGAATGGGAAAGCCGGGAACCTTGGGGGAGGCGTGGTGACCATTGAGAGAAGCAAGAGCAAGATCACGGTCACCTCTGAGGTGCCATTCTCCAAAAGGTGCGTGGGCAGCGGCCAGTGCCACACTTAGTCCCTTCTGGCCAGGAGGGGATCACCTGAAAAGTGGCTGGGTTTGTGATTGCAGCTATTAATTTCTGAACAATGTTAGTGTGGGAGGCAGTGAATAAAGGTTATGATAGTCAGATTTCACATTTGGCTGTTGTAAAATTTTGTCTTTCACAGGCTAAAGCATTGCAAGTAGTCAGGTTCAGACTATTTTTTTTTTTTTTTTTTTTTTTTAAAGAGATGGTCTTGCTCTGTTACCCAGGCTGGAGTGTATAGTCAGGGTCTTAGTTTATCACAGCCTTAAACTTCTGGGCTCATGTGATACTTGAAGCTGGGACTATAGGCTTGTGCCACTGTATCCACCTAATTAAATGCTTTTTGGGAGATAGAGACAGGGTCTTGCTGTGTTGCCCAGGCTGATTTTGAACTCTGGGCTCAAGCAATCCTCCTGCTTTGGCCTCCCAGAGTGCTGACATTACAGGTGTGAGCCACTGCACCCAGCTGTTAGACTGTGTTCTTAAAAATACAGATCTTCTCTTGGCTCTAGACACAGTGAAGAGCTCTTTCCTTTTCCTTTTTTTCTTTGGGGAGATAAGGTCTTGCTCTGTTGGGAGTGCAGTGGTGTCTTCATAGCTCACTGCAACTTCAAACTCCTGGGCTCAAGTGATCTTCTTGCCTCGGCCTCCCAAGTAGTTGGGATTAAAGGTGCCCACCAGAATGCCCAGTTAATTTTTCTATTTTTAGTTGAGACAGAGTCTTGCTTTTGCTCAGGCTAGTATTGAACTCCTGAGCTCAAGCAATCCACCTACCTCAGCTTCCCAAAGTGCTAGGATTGTAGGTGTGAGATACCATGCCTGGCTCAATTTTTTTTTTTTGAGACAGCCTCAAGCTGTCCCCCTGGGTAGAGTGCTCTGGCATCACAGCTCACAGCAACCTCCAACTCCTGGGCTCAAGCGAGTCTCCTGCCTCCTTCTCCCAAGTAGCTGGGACCACAGGCATCTGCCACAGTGCCCTGCTATTTTTTTTTTTTTTGTTTGTTTGTTTGCAGCCATCATTGTTTGGTGGGCCTAAGCTGGATTTGAACCCGCCACCTTAGGTGTATGTGGCTGGCGCCTTAGCCACTTGAGCCTCAGGTGCCGAGCCTCAATTATGAAATTTTAATATTTATTTATTTATTTTTGGCCAGGGCTGGGTTTGAACCCGCCACCTCCGGCATATGGAGCCGGCATCCTACTCCTTTGAGCCATAGGCGCCGCCCAAATTTTTAAACTTCCTGAAATTTTGAATTAAACACCTCATTTGAATACACTATGGTAGAAATAATTGAGGAAAGAATATTTTGTAGATGGGACGACCAGACCAATTTATTTTTATGTAGGGAAAGGTGGATAGAGTTGACCTGAGATCTTCACATCTTTGTGAAGATGGCTTTATTGCTGTAGAAACGTTGTTAGTGTTCATGTCTTGGATATGGTGAGTCTACTGGTTTATAACAGTTTGAAGAGGTGGTAAGTATCACGAGCCACATGTTATACTGGGAGAAGCTATTGTTTGTTAGGATTGATTTGCCCAGCATTGAGTTTGTGTGGCATTATCCTCCTCCTCTATGCAGAATAGCTAACCTCAGGACCTCATAAGCAAATGGGTCGGGAAAGAAATAAGATTTGCAGGTTTATTATCTTCATGCTATAGTTAGGATGTTAGGAATAAAAGCCAGTCCCTGCCTAAAGGGCAGGTTTTCTAGTGAGCAGTTTGGCTAAGGCAGCAGTTAGGCAGATAGATTAAGTGCTCTCTGCTGGGCTGAGCGCAGTGGTGGGTGGCACCCTGTCCAGTGCACTGGGTGGAGCCACACACAGCAGAGAGCTCTTGACACAGCCCTAAAACAATCCTGATAACCCAGACAACCTCACAAAGGAGATTGACTCAGGGAGGTGATGTCTACAAAGTACTAGGAGCTCACTGGGGACCTAGTGATTTCTCAGTAAAATGCACACAGGGCTGTGTGCTCAATTGTCAAATTATTACAGAGCTGTCTCCAGTGCTGACTCAAAACCATCGTATAGATATTTGTGGTATAGTGGACAGCTGTTAGATTTTATCTGCTCTCATCATTTCCAATTTAGATGACATGCAGCTGGTACTTTTATTAGACCATTGGTGGAGTATATCTGCCTCCTCTTTGTCATTTTTGATGGGAAAACACCTTGGGTTGTAATGATTTTGAATATGCAGGTTTTATAAAGTTAAAGTGTTTGGGAATGCAAGAAGGCCATTTGTCTAGTGTAGTTCTCAAGTGTCCTTTCTCTGCAGGTATTTGAAATATCTCACCAAAAAATATTTGAAGAAGAATAATCTACGAGATTGGTTGCGCGTAGTTGCTAACAGCAAAGAGAGTTACGAATTACGTTACTTCCAAATTAACCAGGATGAAGAAGAGGAAGAAGATGAGGATTAAAATTCATTTATCTGAAATTTTTTGTATGAGTTCTTGAATAAAACTTCGGAACCAAAATGGTGGCTTATCCTTGTATCTCTGCAGTATGGATTGAACAGAAAATTGGAAATCATAGTTAAAGGGTTTCCCTTGGGCTGCCACTTACTTATTTGTAACTTGACTTGTTTTTTTTTTTCTGTTTGAAAATTTCAGTTCTCTTGAAGTAGTGATACCAAAATAGAAGAAGGCGACTTTAAGGGAACTGACGCGCATTGAGCAGGTAGATGAGATGTGGAGGTGTGAGCTTCAGTTAGTCTCTGTTTCATCTGTAAAAATGTGACGGTCAATTTTATCTGGTGCTTTTACAAAGAATCAGGAATTCAAGTGGGCTCTTCTCATTCATTAAAAGCAAACCAGGTAACTTCTAAGATTCTCTTATGGGAAGAATGGCAGTGTCAATAAAATGCAGGTTTCTGGGCCATTTGTCTGGTTTTCATTTTTTGGTTGTAAATTACTCTTGATGCATACAATTTTGTATACTAATTCTTTTTCTTCCTGTAGAAATAAAATGTGCTCCTTTGCTGCATTTTTGACTACTCTCTATAAAAGGGTTTAGAGAGAAATATGGTTAAAGTCCCAGGTTCTAAATTAACTAAATGTGTACAAAAAATGACTTTGTAAATTACTGTTTCCACCAAGTCTTTGCAACGAACTTTGGTCCCCAGCAGGGGGCGTTGGAGTGTAGTTTTCACACATGGCCTCCTGTAAGGGTCCCAGACCTCCATGCTGAGGACTCTGGAGGCTTTTGTGAAGGGGAGGTGGGAGATGCCCAGGAAATAGCTGCTGCTGGCCCATGTAGGCTGTGACTTTAATGTCAGAATTCATTCTACAAACAGTGGTGTGTCTACGAGATTCTGTGCCAATATGTACAGAGGCCAGAGAACTGAGAGGTTGTTCCTGAGGCTGGGAATATGTAATTGTTGCTGAGTCTGGCTTTGAAAGAGACCCTGATGCCTTGTCGTGCCCTTCTGAAAGCCAAACAATGATGCAGAAATGTTAGCCTTGTTTTATAATTACGGTGGATAAAATCCATGTTTTTAAAGAGCTTGCCTGCAGCTGGTTTCCACACCTGAAATTGTGCTATGTGAGTTGCGTGGCTGAAATTGAATGTTCACGTCCTGCCCCGGCTCCAATTTAACATTCGGTGCTCTTCTGGATTGAGTTGAACATGTTGAGGCTTTGCAATTTCATTTGTGGTAAAGGCTCTAGCATTTTCTATTTCTATGCAAATTTCTTGAAGGAGAATTGCTTGCCTATTCTCTGCCCTCACGGAAGGCAGTTTCTTTCAAACTTAACTGAGGCATCAGTTGCTCTTTGGCTCTGCCCCTTATGGTGGTTACTGACTATCAGTTTGTGAGTGGGGTTTGCAAGTTTCACTTGGTGGTTGCATTGATGTGCCCTTGTAGTAATTATTGGATTGGTTGTGAAAAAAATTAACTCTGGGCTGAAATTAGCTTATAAGCTTTTTCAGAGTAGTCCCAGATTTTAAAACTTGTAATAAAGTTGAAACTCACTGGTTTTTCTATGCTGTTTCAAACTCTTGTAATTGAGTTTTGATCACATTTTATATTAAAGTGGCTAACACATGGCTACTATTGTTGTGCAAGGCTTTTTTTCTTTTTAAAGGGTTGACATGTTAATCTGTTCAGCAACTAAACCTCTGTCCTCACTGATGAGATGTTGTACCCACAGTTACCTTGGTCTTTGTTAGGCCTAGGAGGAGTGGGGCCCTTTTTCCATCTTCTTCACCTTGGTTGTGCAGTTCCCCCCAGCGAGATTCTGGAGTTGACTGTAACTGAGTTCCATGTGGAATTTTCAGATCCAGGGCCTGGAGAACAGCTGCAAACAAATGGCAGGTTTTGATGGGGGAACGCTTAGCGTGAAGTGGGGTGATAACGGCACTCAATACACCGGCTGTGCCCAAGGCACGTTTTAGATCAGGCACCTTTGGTTAGTCTCCTCATGCCCCACCTGCCTCATTCCCCACCTCACCCCCTATTTGAAACAGACAGATGGGTGTTATGGAAAGTTTGAAGCTGTGATATATAAGTTCACAAAAGTCATGAAATGGAAAATGCCTATAATCTTGTTAGCTGACTATTAATCATACATACCTCTCTTCCCTGGAATGTGTTTGTACAGCCAGGGAATTACAATAAGATGGTTTAACATCAAGCACAAGCACCTGGTCATTTCTAAAGGGTTAATGCGTTTCCCTTTAAAAGGTTTCCCTTTAAAAGCCTGTCCTTTCGGTTCTGTGACACTTCTGGTGGTGAAAGTCCTCATACCTTTTCAGGGACAGCCAAGCATGGAGATACATGGGTCCTAACAGCTCACCAGTGTTGCCTGTCATGGGTGGCCAGAAACATGGGGGATGTGTGGGGGTTTGAGCATACCAAATACAGTAGGGCCTCCATAGTTGACCACCTCCCTGCACTGACCACTTCCTTAAGTGGACCTAATTTTCATAGACCAGACGTGTACCACCACTACAGTAGGCCTAGTTCCTTATGGTGAGAAACTGTCTGTTGACCAGTTGCTTATAGTACCTTGGGTGGTCATGTCTCAGTTGATATTGGGTTATTTAGGCCTCAGTCTTTTTAGGGGACACTTGATTTCCTGGAAGGCGAGCAGGACCCCAGTGAAGGGATGATGATGGTTCCTCTGAAGTCGCTGATAACTTTGGGAGATCCTAGAATTTGGCCATGATTACGTGCTTCCTTTTCAGGTATGCTGTTCTTTGGGAATCTGTTGGTACCCAGGGGATTGACCATCTTGCTGGTGATCATCAGACAGAAGGCGGGGCTAATTGGGGTCCATAGACCGCCCAGGGTAGGGATAGCTGAGACACCATAGCAGTGGGAGGTAGGCCAGTCCCCCAGTGGAGGAGCTGGATGGGCTCCTGCCCCCTTGTTGGTTGAGTCATGGTAATGGGGCTGTACTGGTGGATGGAGCCGAGCAGGTTTCTTCCAAGAGTGTGGAGAAGGTAGGAGATAGGAGAGGTGTGGTGTAGGGGTTGCCTATCCTGGCAAGGAGGTGGTCCTCCACCTAAAGGAAGCAGGTGGAAGACCATCTGTTAAATTATGCCATGGCGATACTTATCTCCAGGAACAGAAAACTAAGAATTTCTAATCCAGCCATTTTTTTGGTCTTTGGGATGGATTTGAGATCCACTTTTTTTTTTTCTAGGCTATTTTGGGCCAGGCTAAAACAGTCTGTAAAGGCTGTGCTGACTAGCTAAGGGAGTGAGCTCCCACCATAGCTGGGACCCAGGAAGTGCACTGCGTGGGTCCTTTCTCAGGAGAAAGCCCCCTCCTTTTGAGAAGCTCCTTCCCTTGCAACCCCAAGTGGTTTGGATTTACGTGGTGTAAGGTCCACACTTTGAGAAAAAAGCTTCAAATGTGATGAGGGCCTTGACACTGCGGGTGGGGTGAGGTGGTGGGGGGTGCTGATCCTTTATTTCCGAGGCTATTGCAATCCTGAGCACTGCTGTCTCACCCCTGCTGGGGAGGAGGCTCCCAGGCTTTGGAGTTTTGATCTCTTCTTCCTTGACCTATGTGGCAGGCTGTGAGGCAATACAGGTATAAGCTCCACTGCCCTGAAGAAGCCTAGGGTGTCATCAGGTGGCTATAGCATGGGGGCATATTATTAAGGAGCTATCTTCAAGCAGGATTTGGGGTGCCTGTTTGAGGAATTTATGTAGCCCAGGAATGGAGGTTGAGTATGGTACGTGCAAAAGATGATTTCTTTTTAACTCTTGTTCTTGGGAAACATTTTTTTCCCTTGATACTTTTATAACCAATATATTAGAAAATATTTTGATTTTTGAACTGACACTGAGGTGTAATTATGAGCTCTGTGATCAGCAAACATGAGAATCTTGTCTTATGAAAGTATAACCTTAATGATAGGCTTGTTCTCAAACTGCAGAGTTTATAGAACGTTCATGTTTTTAGGGATTGCTTTAGCATTAGGCATTTTTAGCCCACTGTCATTAAATATGCACATTTGGTAGTTTAACAAGGAGGATTGTCCTTTAAAATGACTGGTGATTTGTAGTTCAAAACCCATGTTTCTACCCTCTCAGTCTTTGCTGTATGTCCCTTTTGGTCAGTAAGCAGGCCTTGTTACCCAGGGCAGTGGGGGGCGGGGCAGGGAGAGCATTAAGAAGGACAATATTGCTTCTCTAATTTGTTGCCAATTGAGCACTTAGAATTGTTCTTTTTTGAACGATAATCTTGACTTTCTCAGCCGCGCCTTGGAAGTTGGAGCCAAGGTTAATGATGTGTTGTGTTTGCGTGTGTGTGTGTGTGTGTGGTTTTCTGCAGATGAGAAATACCCTGAGAGTTTCTCTATAGTGGGGCAGGGGAGATTTGATAGGGATTACAGAGGTGCTGGGGACTGGGAACTATGGGGTGTGTGTTTGGTGGTGCTTAGGGTTTTGCCCTTTCCCAAGATGAAGGCTGGGCTCAAGCCTCTGTGGCCTGGGGTAACCCAGCTGGCTTGTCGTTGGGGAACTACAGCCCTGGACCCGGAGGCTTAGGTTTCTTGGCCTGCCTCCTGCGGGGCTGATCTCACTGTTTGTGGATTCCTGGCACTTTCATCCCAGGAGACCGTCCCAGACTGGCCCTTTCATTTGGGGCTTCCTGGCCATTCTTCTGGGTGGGAAGAAGGGGACCACTGTCCAGCAGCTCTTCCTCCCCAGGCCATCGGTTGCCTTCTGGTCAGAAGCTTGGACTCACCATTCGTGGATTGTGGCCACCTCCCCGATTAGTCTGGTAGTAGGGCTCTCACCAAGTGGGCACAGCTTTCCTGGTTCTGCACAGGTGCCAGGGTAGGGAGCGCCAAGCCCTCCTGTGCTGCTACAGTGGCACGGGCACTGGCAAATTCTGGCCGAAAGGGGCAGGTGCCAGAGGCACGGTCTCCTCCCCCTGCTTCCACCTTCGGCGGGTCCTGCCATCTCCAGCGCGTTCCCTCAGCGTGTCTGGTCCCAGGCAGTGAGGCCAGGTGCCCTTCCTCACTAGCCCTTCAAGCGCTAGATTCTGCCGGCCGCTGAAACTTTGCGTTCTTAGAGTAGCTTTTAAGACTTGCTGCTGCCCAGACTGAAAGCGCTCATTTAAAATTCCAGTCTTGCTCCCCAAGGCTTTGGCTTCCATCTTCACCTTTAACGACCGAGGGCCGGTGATGCAGGCACTTTCCCTCCCCGCGACAGGTGTCGCTTCTAAGCTGGAGTTTGGGGCACAAACGACACAGGTCCGCACCACACCCAGGGGTGTTGAGCGTTTTTACTGGACCCGGGCCGGAAGGGCATTTTGGAACAGAGCTGATGGGCGGCGGGAACCGGGGTGAGAGGAGTGAGCGAGGGGCTAGGCTATACGGACTTTTCTGGGGGAAATCAGACCCACTGTCTCCAGCGCGTCCCCTCCCCAGGTGCGGAACATTTTTCTTCTAATCCTCTTTGAAAGGTAGTTAGTCGCGTGTCGGGGCCAGAGCCAGGGGCGTGTGATTTGAAAGGGAACTTGGGCTCGCCGCCCCGGAGACCCCACCTCCGCGCCCTTGGGGACCCTAGGGCCGAGCGCCTTCGTGGGCTGGGTGGCGGCCGCAGGCCTTGCTCCAGGTGCGCGGGGGCGGCGTCTTCCCGCCTCCTACCACGCCTGGGCTCGCCCCAGTCCCAGCTGCCCGCTCGGCCGTCGGGTCCCAGAGCGTGCGGGCTCCTCGACGGCTCCCTCTGCCGGAGCGCCCCTGTCCTCCACCCTCACCCGGAGACTCAGGACTAGCCCCCCAACTTGTTCTCTGCTGTTAACTAGTAGCGCTGCCGGAACGATGGGATGGGGTTGCCACAGCAACCAGACTGGACGTCACAATCCGGGCATGTGTGCCGCACCCCCGCCGTGCCGCCGTGCCGCCGGCGCTGCCGCCGCCACCCTCGGCCGGCTGCGGGACTCGGGCTGCTGGGCGCGGGGGGCGGAGCGGCCCGGGCTTTGCGGGGAGCAGGCTAAGGCGGCCGAGAGGAAGGGGGGGTCGAGACGGGGGGTGGAGGTTTGGGGGGGTGGGGGGCAGGCGGCCGCCATCTTCTCGCCGAGGCCGCCTCGCCCGCCGCGCGCGCCCGTCCGGCAGCGTACGGGTTAAGGCTGGCACCGCGCCCGGCGGGAGGGGGGGCGCCCACCTCCCCTCCTCCTCGCGCCGGGCATGCGGGGCCCGCTGGGCACCGAGGAGGAGCTGCCGCGGCTGTTCGCTGAGGAGATGGAGAACGAGGACGAGATGTCAGGTGAGCGGGGCGCCGTGCGCCGTGGCTGGAGCGGGGGGCGCCGAGACGGGCCGGGCCGGGCTGGGGCCGGGGCGCGCAGGCTGCGGGGGCGGCGCGGCCGTGCTGGCGCCGTGCAGGAGGGGCGCCCGGGCTGCGGGCTGTGCTCCCGCCCTACTGGCGCCGCGCTGCCAAGGGCGCGGGGCTGGGCGAGCGCCGGGGCGCGGCGCGCGGGCAGCCAAGGGCGGGGTGTGATCGACTCCCCCGGCCGCGGCGCGGGCCAGGCGGGCCCGAGGACGGCGGGATGGGGCCTGCACTGGGCGCCCCGGCAAGGAGGGGGCACGGCGCCTCTGGGGTCAGCCCGCGTGCCCTTGAAGGGGGCGGGAGTCGTGCTGGCTCCTGGCGCGGCGAACCCCGCGCTCTCGCACCGCCGCTGCGCGCCTTTGGCCTGGCCGCGGGCAGGCGGGACCCAGCCCCGGCCCCAGGCCGTGTTGGCCGCAAGGCGGGCTGGGTGGGGCCCGGAGCGGGGCGAGGACAGGCTGTGTTTGGGGACGGGGCGACCGTCAGGCTGGGACCGCTTCCCTCCCTCTGGGCCCAGAAAGGTTCCGTGCCGGGGCGCGCGGGCTCGGACTTCTGCTCCCCTTTCCCGGCCGCTGGGTACTGTGACCGCCGCTCCCAAGCACTTTGCCTGGGCGCTGGTGTCCTCGTGACGTGTCCTAGCGCTCGCTGCTGTCTCCAGTCCCCCGTCGCCCAGCGTAGCGGCGTTCCCAGCCCACCCGGCTTTGGCTAAGGGCCTGACACCCCAGGGCCACCGCCCTTGCCCTTGCCATCTCTCTTATCTCTCACAATTTGGCACAAATAGGGTTTGTCCATCAGGGGATCCCTTGCAGGAGAATTCTTTAGTTAACTGCTCACCATTGGTTTGGGACATTCCCCCCACCCCCACCAAGCTGGGTAGAGCTCCACCCTGTGAACCAGTCTTGCGCCCTCCCTTGGGGGTGGGGAACTATTATTTTTCTGCTTTCTGGTACCAACTCTGGCTCCTCTGGACTTCTGAGACACTAGTGGGGGGCCAGGAGGGCTCTCCCTAGCCCAGGAATGTGCATTTAGCCCCTAGGAGCACCTTCTTCAGGGGTGAGAGTATTCCACAAATTGACATCTCCAACAGCTGTGTGGCGGGAGCAGGGTAGCTCCCAGTCTCCTCAACGAGGGACTCTCACCAGGTGGCCACACCCCCCCTGCTGTTTGCCTGCTTGTTGGCTTAGTGGTTTAGGGCTGTGACTGGGCCACTGCAGGAGCCTGGTCTTCCCTCAACTTTAACAAGCCAAATGGGCAAAGAGGGTCCTGGAGTTGGGGATAGAGGTGGGACGTCCCCATGTGGGGGCAGGATTGCCTGGACAAGGTCGATTGTTGTATCCCAGGTCTGTGGACTCAGACCCATTCATCAGAGGGGGAAACGGAGGCAACGCACAGGCATGGAAACCTATGGCTGTTTTGTCCCCAGGAGGCTGGCCCATCAGTGAACCGGTCCACTGGTTTCCTCAGATGGTGGTGATTGGGGTGTGGCCCCTTTGTGGTACCGTTGGGGGCAGTGGACAGCTGTAATGGGCTCTTTTCTGGGACTTTTCATGGACTTCCTGATGGAGTCTCTGGTCCCATTTCTGGTCTTGTACTCTGGGTCCCTGATTGTGTTGGGATGAGGAGCTGAGGGAGGGAAGGAGGCCAGGGAACGTGCCCCCAGGTGAGAGGAGCACGCATTCACTGGGTCCAGAGGTTGGGCTTCTGGGGTCAAAGGCTACTGCCAGCTACCTGTTCTTCCCCTAGCCCCCGGCCCAGCAGAGCCGGTGAGGCTGTCCCAGAGCCTGCAGAGGAGACGGCCTGCTTTGGCTCCTCTGGCCTGGGGATTCTGGCCTCTGAGCAAGACCACCTGCACTGCCTTCAGAGCCTTCCCAAGCTCCTCTCCACATTCTGGGTCCAAGCCTCTGTCCTGCTGGGCTCCTCTGCTCCATAGCCAGGGTCACCTGTGTACACAGGTGAGACCTCATCTCTCGTGACTTGCATTAGTCACAAAGCCCTTGTTCTAATCCACCTTTCCCCCCAATCCCCCTTGTTCCTGCGGTGCAGCCACACAGGCCTCCTTGTTGCTTCTGGAATCCTCCAAACTCCATCCTGCCTTTGGGTCCTGACCGTGACCCCATCTGACCCGCTCTTTCCTCTGTTCAAAGCTGCCTCCTGGTCATTTAGGTTCCAGCTCAAATGCTACGATGGGTAGGGACCCCTGGCTCAGGCATGGTCCCCGTTCCTCTTAGACCCAGGGTCATGCTTTATTTTCTTAGCAACCCTTGCTCCTCTCTGGAATATTATCACCAGTTTACTTCTGTGTCTGTGGGCTTCTCCCTGGTGTGACTCCCTTACTCACCTGCCATGCCCAGGACCTGGAACTGTGGGTACCTGAGACTTGGCTGTGGTCAGGGTGACTGAGTGCTTGGGAGTCCCTAGGTCACCTGTGGCCCTTGGCCATGTAGGCAGCTCCAGTCAGGCCTTATGTCAGGCTCTCCGTCACAGCCCTTTGTGACACCCCAGACCCAGCACCAGCTGGTTTCCAAATGCTGCAGTTTGCAGTGGGAGGTGCTGTCATCAGACTCGTTACTTGTGACTTGTTTCCTCTTTTGACACTGCTGGTCTCAGGACCCCCCCTCAGAACACTACTCTCTCAGCAGTGTCCTTGTATGAAGGCAGGTGGGGGAGCCTGCTCTGGGGAGGAAGGCCATGTGAGTGCCCACCTCTTCTGGCCTGGGGACTAGCAGCTGCCAAATTCTCTTGGGAGTTGGACAGCTGGTCAAAGTGAGGGCCTGAATCCCAGCTCTGCCACTTGTTAGCTGGATGGATTTGGACAAGCTACCCAGTGCTCTGCCTCAGTGTCCCCACCTGTAGAATGGGGACATAGCACTAGCTACCTCATAGAGGGTTATTATGAGGACTAGTGAGATAATACATGTGGAACATTTAGGTCACAGTGCCCAGAACATAATAGGTGCTCAGTAAACTGTGGCTGGTATAATTAGCACCTTTCAAGGAGGGCAGCTGTCCTGCCTTACCCAAGGAAATGCTTCCAAGATTTATACCCTCACCCAGTAAGACTAGGGGCATGGGAGCCTGGGTGGGAGGGCTGGGAGTGTGAAGCCTGGGATGGGGCTGGAGGGAAGCAAGAGAGGGGCTCATAAGCTGTGGCTCTAACACCTCTTAGTGCAACTGCTGGGCCAGTAAGTTCCCTGCTGGGCTGACCCAGCCCTTCTTCAATCCTAGCCAAAGCTGGTGAGCCCAGGCTCTCCTGATGGGGCAGTGTGGTCCCCTGGCCCCAGTGGCACTTGATTAGCCCTAGCCTGTGAGCTTCTCAGGCTTTCTTAGGCCAAGGGGTCAGGAGAAAGTGACAGGATTCCTAAAAGGCCTTGAGCTTTTAGGTTATCCCTCTCCCCCAAGAAAGTGTGGATCTGGGGGGCTCCCAGGGAGGTTGATCATATTTAATATCCTTTTCTGGGAGGAGTGAGGTGATCAGTACACTTTGTCCAGGGGCTTAGCTAGTGGGTTGTTCATTCTTATTCCAAGTTGATCTGGGCCTGAGATCCATCTGTCATTTCATCACTTCATCTAGTCACTTACCCATCTATTCATCTATCCATGTATCTACCTGGCCACCCAAACACTACCCATAAAACAAACCAACTAACCATCCAGTCACCACCATTCATCCTCCATCTATCCACCTGTTCATCTACCACCCATCTATCTATCCATCTGCCATTCACCTATCCATCTACCACCCCTCTATCCATCCATCACTCACCTATACATCCATCTACCATCCATCTACCATCCACCTATCCATTCACCATCCACCTATCCATCCACCATCCATCTATCCATCCACCATCCACCTATCCATCCACCATCCCCCTATCCATCTACCATCCACCTATCCATCCACCATCCATCTAACCATCCACCATCCATCTAACCATTCACCATCCATCTATCCATCCACCATCCACCTATCCATCCACCATCCATCTAACCATTCACCATCCATCTAT